GTGGTGGTGGTGACAGGGGGCGGGGCGCGAGACCACAGCAGCGGCAGCGACCAAGTGCGCACGCGCCAGTTCGGGTCTTCGAGCCGAGGAGCGCCAGGAGCGAACCAGCTGGGAGCGCGTGCGCACACGCTTTCTTGAGGGTGGCGGAACTCTCCCCTCACCGGGCTAAGGCCCTTCAGTGATCAGACTGGCACCCCTCACCCCAAGTAACCCCCTAACGGGCCACCAAGCAGTACCCCAAACTGCCCTCTATTAGCTGCCACCACACCTCTAAACTCCCCTCTAAACTCCCAACTACTCTCCGTGCTCCAAATGCACCCCAAACCACCCTTCTTCATAAATTATATCCCCAAACTATTGTTCATTGATCCCAAGCGGTACCCCCAATCCACCCTCCATGGACACCCAAGGTGTAGAAACAAACTACCCGCCACTACTCCCTAATTATTCCCCCTAACCATTTGCAGTCAGCCCTGAAACCATTAACCTCCAAAGAGCACTTTCAAATCACCATCTACCCCCAATATGCATCCCAAACATCCTCCATTGACCCCCAAACCACTCTTCATGCACCCTTCTAGCCATACTCTATTGACCCGCAAATGGTTCTCCAAGAGCCCTCAACACCACCCCAAACATTCTCAGCTACCTTCAGTGTGGCCCCACCTGCCCACCAAATCAATTCCAACAGTCACCTGTTCCACCTGCAAACTGTGCTCCATAAACCCTCCACCAAACCTTCCCCTGACCAACCCCATCCCCCACCTTCCAACAGCCGCTATCACTATCCCATATACTCCCAACTACTAAACATTATCCTACAACTGCACTTCAAACTACCCTCCAACACTCTCTTCACCTTCAAACCATACTCCACTCATCCAAAATCCACCTCCAAAGCACTCTCCAACAGTCCTTAACTATACTTCCAAATAACCACTAACCTTCTTTCTGTAGTGACCCAATTGGACCCCAAAATCATACTTTAATGACCTAAATATATTACAAAGCAATGTACAAATCTTTTCTTAATTATCAACGTAATAATCTAATGATCTTTTCTTAAAACAACTTAAATGAGGTATAATTTACATACCTTAAAAGTCATCCACTTTAAGTATGCAATTCAATTTTTATAGTAAACTTACCAAAGTGTTTAACAATCACCATAATCGGGTTTTAGAGCATTTTCATTGTCCCAAAAAGATCCTTCATGCAATCAATCCCCATTCTCATTCCCAGTCTCGGGCAACTGCTAATCTACTTTCTATCTCTATAGATTTACTTTTTCCAGACATTTCATATAAATGCAATATGTGGATTTTTGGTTTGGCTTCTTTCATTTAGCATAATGTTTCTGAGGTTCATTTAGCATAATGTTTCTGAGGTAGCATGTATCAATAGTTGGTTCCTTTTATTGCTGAATAATATTCCATCCAATAATCTTTAACTGCTCCCCAAATCACACACTAATAGCTTCCTAACTACAATTCATGATAGTCTTCCGACATCCAGACCTCAAAAAGGCCCCCAAACTGCATCTCAGACTGTACCCATCAGCCCTCAACTATGTCCCCAAACCATGCTATTGATCTCAAACTTCGTCACTAAACTACCCCCTCAAAGCCTCATCTTCACTCCCAAACCTCCTTCCAACAGCTCCCACTTTACCCTCAAACTGCTCTCTAACTCCCAAGAATATTCCCAAAGTGCCCTTTCAATGATACCCAACTTCAACCCCAAACTACTCTCCAACAATTACGAACCTCACCTCTAAAATTCCCCTTCCAAGAGTCCCCAACTCTGCATCTTAATACCCCCTAAACTACCTTCCCTTGGTCCCACAGCTGCAAACTATAGCTCCAAACCACTCTTTAATGACCACTATACCCAACCTTGTCTTAAAATACATGCAACTACATCCACAAAATATCTTCAAAATTTTCCCAACCATACCACCCTCCAAGAACTCCCAACTATACCCTAACTGATCTATAATAGCCTTAATACTATCTATAAACATCCTCTATTTATCTTCCCAGTCTCCTAACTATACCTCCAAACCGCTCTCCTTCCAGTGACCACCGAACCATACCTCGGTCTTTCCTTTGATGGCTTCAACTGTACCCAAACACTTTCCAATGGCCCCTAATTATACCCTTAAACTTCCCTCAATAAACCCCAAACATACCCCTAAGTCCCTCTAGCAATCCCCACAGCTACCCTCAAGTCATCTGTGTTAGCTTCCTGTGGCTACTGTAATGAATTACCACAAATTTGATGGCTTAAGACATAAAAAAAATTGTATTCTTTCACAGTTCTGGGGGCCAGAAGACCAAAATCAAGGTGCCAGCAGAGCCACACTCCCTCTGGCTCTAGGGGAGAATCTGTTTGTTACTGTTTTCTCTTTTGGTGGTTGTTAGCATTCCTTAGCTTATGGCTGCATCACTACAGCCTCTGTTTCCATGGTCGCATTGCCGTCTTCTTTTCTGTCTGTCAAATCTGCCTCTGGCTTTCTCTTTTAAAGACATATGTGATTACAATTAGGATTCCCTGGATCATCCAAGATAATTTCCCCATCTCAAAATCCTTCCCTTAATCATATCTGCAAACCGCAAAGTCATTTTTCTTTTTCTTTTTCTTCTCCTTTTCCTTTTTCTCTCCTTCTCCTTCTTCTTGCCATCTAAGATACATATATTTACAGGTTCCAGGAATTAGGATGTGCATATTTTTGGCGGGATCATTCAGCCTACAACGGTACACTCTTTGGCTCCCAAAGATACGCATCCATCCCGTGCACATAACCCATGTACCTTGTCCCAAAAGTTTCAACCCATTACAGCATCAACTCAAGTTCAAAAATCTCACTTTAATATTATCAGCTCAAAAGTTCCAAATCTCATCATCTAAATAATCTAAATCAGGTATGAGTGAGGTTCTGGGTATGATCTACACTGAGGTAAACTTTCTCTCCATCTCTGGACCTGTGAAACTAGAAAACAAGTTATCCGTTCCCAAAATACAATGGTGGGACAGACATAGAATAAGGGAGAAAATGGAAGGAAAAAAGATGTCATTTGTCCCAAGTAATTTTGAAATCTAGCAGGGCATCAGGTTTCAATGCCTGGGAATAATCCACTGTGGCTTGAGGCTCCTCCTCTGGGTCCACAGTTCTGCTCCGAGTCATTCTTCCTTTCTCTTGAAGGGTCGTACGTGTTTGCAACTGAGTAGTTTCAGCCAGTATTCTTCCAGTAGAATTTTGGAAGTCCAACATCCTTTCTTCATTTCATCCTGTCTCTGTTTCTTTTAAGCCAATCAGATAGTATTTCTGGCAGTATAACATTCTCAAAAACTTTGTAGGTCTCCCATGGAAATCACGGGAATTCATACCAATTAGACAAGAGAATCCTCCACAAATCTTTCATGGATAATTTCATTTCTATTCCCGACTTTTGCTGAGATGGTTGAGAAGGTCCATGAGTCACACACCTAATCTCTTTAGTACTAGCAAGAAGTGATCCAACCACACTGTTGGCTTTCTCTCCAGAGCATATTTTCCTGACAGCAAATCTCCTAAAATTTGTGTCTTTTGCCATCTGGACAGCCTGAGAATTTTTCAAATCATCAAATCCTGGATCCATTTTGCTTAACAGTTCTTCTCTCAGTTTATCTTTCCTTTGACATCTTACAATAAGCAGCAAGAAGAAACAAGGCAGTACCTTCAACACTTCCCTTGGAAGTCTCCTCAGCTATATATCTAAGTCCATCACTTACAGGCTCTGCTTTCCACACAATAGTAGGACATAATTCAGCTAAGTTTTCTGCCTCTCTATAATAAGGATCTTCTTTGCTACAGTTTCCAATAACATGTTTCTTATTTCCTTCTGAGCCCTCACCAGCAACACCTTTAACATTCATATTTCTATCAACATTCTATTTCTGATAATACATATATATTCTAAGACAGTGTAGTATTTCTCTACTCTGCTCCTCCCTTCCTTCTGAGACTTTACCAGCAGTGCTTTCAAAATTCATATTTATACCAACAGTCTGTTCAAGGCAATCTGGGCTTTTTCTGTCATGTGACTCAAAATTCTTTCAGCCTCTACCCATTATCCAATTCCAAAGCTACTTCAACATTTTTAGGTATTTGTTACAACATGTTATGAACTGAATTGTGACCCCCCCCCCCGCAAAAAAGAATCCTTATGCTGAATCTAACCCCCAATATGACTGTATTTGGAAATAGGGCCTTTAAGGAGGTGATTAAGCTTAAATAAGGTCATAAGGGTGGGGCCCTAATCCAGGAGAACTGGTGTCCTTATAAGAAAAGAGACACTAGGAGTGCATGCGCACAAAGGAAAGGCCATGTGAGGACCCAGCAAGAGCAGCTATTTGCAAGTCAGGAAGACAACCTTCATCAGAAATCAACTCAGATGGCTTCTTGATCTTGGACTTCTAGCCTCTAAAACTTGAGAAAATAAACTTCTGTTATTTAATACACCCAGTCTGTGGTATTCTGTTATGGAAGCCTGAGCAAACTAAGACACAGAAGCATCTCACATCCAGTTATCAAAATCCGTATTGGTTTCCTGTGGCTGCTGTAACTAATTGCCACAAATTTGGTAGCTTAAAATATAAGAAATCTAATTGTTTCTTGGCCTTTTGGCTAAGATCAAGTGAAATATAAGGAATCTATTCTATCTCAATTCTAGAGGCCAAAAATCCCAAATCAGTTTCACTGGGCCAAAATCAAGGTGTCAGTAGGGCCATACTCTTCCTGGAGACTCTTGGGGAGAATCCGTTTATCGTCTCTTCCAGCTTCTGGTGGCTGCTTGCATTCTTTGGCTTATGACCACATCACTACAATCTCTGTCTCTATGATCAAATTGCCTTCTCCTCTTTTGTCTGTGATATCTGCCTCTGCCTTCCTTTTGTAAGTAACTTGTGATTATACTTAGGGTCCATTCAGATAATCCAGGATAATCTCCCCTATCTCAAAATCCTTAATTTAATCACATCTGCAATCTTTTTTAATTTTTTGCATATAAGGTAAGAGTTATAGGAATTTGGACATGGACATCTTTTGAGGGACCATTAGTCAGCCTACCACACAACCCTATGACAGTTAACTATTCCTTAAACTGCCTTACAGAATACAAAACTGTCTCTAAACACTCACTATCTTCCCATAGTCCCTCCAACTGCACCCCAAACCATCTTCCAATCCCCAACTCTATTTCCAATTTACCCTCCAATAGCTCCTGTCTGTACTCTTAAATTGTCCTCTAGCAGCCCCATTCCTCCTGAAGACCTTCACATGATCATTTAGTTGTATGCAAACTGTACTGTAGTAGACTCTAAACTCACCCAAAGCTACGCTCAATCACCATTCGCATCCATCCCTAAACATCACCAACTTAACCATCTAACTGCCCTCTTTCCTCCCTTCATATCTCCCATTCACCTCACCTTGAAGTTATCTCTCAATGAAACCTCAGCTGCATAAGGAGGGAGGGAGGGAGGGAGGGAGGGAGAGAGAGAGAGAGAAAGGGAACAGTGTTGAAAAAGTTGTGAAATTGTGAGCAAGAGATTAAGAGAGAGAAACTGAGAGAGAAGAGGGATAGCTTTATTGTGCAGGGGATGTGATGGGGAAGCATTTATGGAGATATTTGGGATGTGTGTATGAAGCTGGTATTTGTAGGATTGGGGTGACTGATAATTAACCTGTGGATCTAATGCTATAATTTTTTTTCTTTCACTCTGTCACAAGTCTTTTAACTTTGTAGCATCTTTTATCAGATTATCATTTATTATTTTGATGTGGTGCAACTGGAGAGATGGTAAAGCATAGTGGTATAGTGCCTGGGCTCGAATTCCAGGTTTTATAAACTGGGGTGATCTAGGGCAAGTGACAACCTTGCTGTACCTTGGTTTCCAGATCTATAGGTTGGGATAATAAATGGAACCCTCCTCAGAAGTCTGTTGTGAGGATTAAGGCAGATAAAGTGCCAAGAACGACCAATAAATGTTGCTTATTTTTACTTTTCTGTGTATTGCTTTTTGTTTCTTGTTTAAGAAGGCCTTCTCTTTTGCCAAAGTCTTAAACGTATTCTCCAAAAATATTTTGTTCTGATATTTGTTATGATTTTTAAAAATATTTTGTTCTGATATTTGTTTGGGTCTTAAGCCAATTTGGAAATATTTTTTTCTGAATTATGTAAATTAGGAATCTAATCCCTCCCTCGAAACGATAGTTATTTCTCCTCAAACCATTTTAGTAAATAGTCCATCTCTCTCCCAGTGATTTGAAATATAATTTTTATCGTTTAGATTTTTAGATTCTTTTATTTCTGTATCATTTATCTAGTTTTCTATTCCTACTCCCATATCACAATGTTTTAATTATTAGAGCTTTGTCATATATTTTGAATCTAACAAGACAATGCCTTCATTTTTCTTCTTCTTTTATAAAATTAGGTATTCTTACATATTTAAGTCACCATAGGAATTTTAACATCAGGTCTACAAATTCCATTTTGGAATTTTTATTGGTAATGTATTGAGTTTTCAAAGACTAATCTGCATAAGAATTTTCATCTTTATTATGTGGATAATGGTTGTGCGTGTGAACATGTGAGGATGTGCATGTTTACCAAACCAACTTGGGAAATAAAGGTGCCAATACAGGGAGGTGCAAGACAAATAGGAGCTCAGTGAAGTTCCCAGGGGTCAACTGATGGGCAGGGTCTTAGGATGTAAGGAAGAAGAGAAGATTGTAGGTCCGGGTGTTTCGTTAGCTGACTGTGCACCCAAAGGTATGGGTGGGATCCCCTTGCTGTGTGCAAGCCGGCTTGCATATATCTGGCATACAGAAGAACTCAATAAATGTTAGTTGAATCAGTGCACAAATGAATAAATCAATTTATTTTTGGAGAGCTTATTGTATGCCAAACAACCTACTAGTACTTTTCATAAATTATCTCTAATCCTTATAACAATCTCGCCAGACAGGTACTATAACCCCCATTTAACAGGTCAGGAAAGCTGAAGCTCAAAGAGGGGAAGTCCCTTGCCCATTTCCAAACTCTGGTCTTTATGATTCCAGAAGTCATTCACTGAAAGGACTAGATCTAATTTCTTTCCTTCCACTAATTCATCCATCTGTCAAGGATTTATTAAGCACCTACTGTGTAGCACAACGACCTAGTACAATGGCCTATCTAGAAGACACAGAGTCTAGAAGACGGAGCGCTCTGAAGAAGACCAGCTGAGCGACTGGACTGTGGGCACCGAAAGGGCGGGGTTTATGGTGCGCACCTCCAAGGAATGTAGCTGCCGAGGCCTCCTAGCTGTGGCTTTGGGTAGATTGAGGAGCGTGGTCTACAAAGCAGATATTACGAAAATTGGCCAAGAGGGGGCGCGGTTCCGCAGCTAGAAGCGTAGCTTGAAGATTCTCTGAGCGCCGACTGGCCATCGGTACGCAGGCGCAGAGGACCCAAGGAGGGGCTTAATATTTTGCAGGGGGTGGAATAATTTAAGAGGAGGAGAGGCTTAACAAATTACCTCTCGCTGATTTGTCTCTGCCTCTGAGGGCATGGCCTAGGCTCCCCCTTCTTGGAAAGAGAGCTGGCCAATATAGTTTTCCCTTCTCGTCGGAGGCGTAGCTTAGGGCGGGCCCTCGAACCAGCCTTCGACTGTTGGCCGCCTCACTCAGAAGGCGGAGCTCGGCAAGCCGTCCATCCTCGGTGCGGTCACTTCCTGTGGAGTTTCCCTAGCCCAGGGAGGAGGGGGAAGAGGACGAGGAGTAGGAGGGCGGTCGTCCGGGGTTAGGTTTGGGGGGTGTTGGTCTGTTCAGGGCGGGGGATGACTCACAGCCCATCCCATCTCTTCGACGCCTCCCGCCCGCGCAGAGCTCACTCCATGGCTTAGCGGGGGAGGCAGTGGTAAGCAGGGGCGGGGACTCTTATTTTGTTAGGGGGACCGGGCCGAAGCCCGACCGGCCTGGCAGGGCTCGCCCGGGGCCGGGCGTCATGTCTCATGCAGCCGAGCCATCTCGGGACGGCGTAGAGGCCAGCGCAGAGGGCCCTCGAGCCGTGTTCGTGGTGTTGGAGGAACGGAGGCCGGCCGACTCGGCCCAACTGCTCAGGTGCGGGGCCGCCTGGGGCCGGTAGTGCTGACTGGGGTTCCCGATAGCCTGATCTGGGGGCAGCTGGGGCCCTGGACTGGGATTGGAGGCCCTCGGCCTAGGCTTGGAGGACGTCAGAGTGCCCGTCTTGGGGGGACACCTAAGGAATCCGGCGGTGGCCTGCCTGGACTGAGGCTTAAAGGAGTCGTGGAAGTGCATTAAAGAAGGCCTGGTTCAGATTTGGGGGCGGGGGCTTGACTGGGTTTAGAGGGACATATTCTGTTGTATCCAGAAACTGGTTTAGGATAGCTGAACTTGGGGAACTGAGACTCTGATTAGAGGCTGATTTGGGGTCCTTGAAGAGTCACGCATCAAGGGGATGAATTTGAGGGACACCCTGTAGGCGAGGCACTGATTTTAAGGGACTTTTTCTCTCAGTGTCAAGGAAGGGGCCCTAGGGGACAGAGATGCCGTCTTGGGAGCTTGGTGATTCCCAATGGCTGGTTGCTGGAGGCTGTGTTTGGGGATAATATGAATCTTTTGAGATTTGGGGACATCTCAGATATGCTGCGTGGGACCAGCCTTGAGAGCGTGAGTGAACAAGAGAAGCAACATTCATCAAGACTTGACCAGAATAATCCCTTCACCTCTGCCCACCCACTCAGCTGGGTCAGATCCCAGGGATAGTGGAAAAGCCCTTTTCCTACACCCTCGTAGGGGCTTGAATGGGAGACAGGCAGACAGAAGTGATGGAGATGGTGCTACCTGTTAGCTCAGAGAAGGCCTTAGACCTTATTCGGGAACTCAGAGAAGGGTCTCATTCCTGCAGCCACCTGCCCTAACCTCTCAGCAGGCCAAGCCCTGCTTACCCCATACACACACATGTTCTTTTTTACCTCACCCTCCCAGTCTGTCTCTCAGACCCTGGAAATAATCTTGAATTTGTCTCTAGAGCTGGAATGAGCACTAATTGCACCATCCCTGCCTGAGTGGGTCCTGTTTGGCTTCTTATCCTCACTTCCATCAGCGACCTTGGAAGCCTCAGTCCCCTTCTCTAAAATTTCTGTGCAATGGGTGTGCGAGATGGTAGGAGGCTTTGCCTTTTTGCCTGAGATTTGTGCTGAGCTCAGTGGCTCCTCGAGCTTCCTCTTCTCGACTTCCTGGGTGGTTTTAGGGCCCTGTCCGAGGGTAAGGAAAGGAAGGAAGACAGATCCTGGTGGAGGGGAGAGAATTTTTCTCAAGTGAAGTCACCCACAATCTCTCAGGATTCTAAATCTTTGACTAAATTCACGGATGCACATCCATTCCTGTGCATGTTGATTTTCCTTACACACTAGGATCTTGCACCCAGCATGGAGGGCTGAGCAGGATCCTTTCCATATATCGATTAACCATCTTCTAATGCCTTTATAACAACCTAGATAATCACAGTGGTGGGAATAGATGAAAGGGAAGGGTATACACAGTTTCTTTTGTGAATCAGTAGGTGCTGGTACTGGAGGTTTGTGTGTGCATTTAGATCTATCTAAAAAGCAGAGATTGCTGGACAGGCTCATCCAGCCAAGAAAAGAAAGCTCTCATAAAGAGGATCTTCCACCCAGATTCTCCCTCTTATCAATCCAGATTGTTGAGCCGAGGGGAGCGTTTGGTTATTTTCATTTTGTATTCGGATCTGTGTTGGTATCCCAGGAACTCTGGCTGGAGTGGAGGAGGGGGGAACTCATTTACAAAGTGATGGATCTTTCTGTAAAGTGAATCCTCGACCCCGGTTCTCTTTGTGATGCATTCAGTTTGTGTTACAATGGGCTTTTATGCTGAGGGATGCCCCTACCGTGCTGCATGTGTGTGGACAAACTGTGGGCTCACATTCAGCTGCCAGGAAAACAGTAGGGGGTGAGGGGCTGGGATAACTCTATGCAAAGTCAGGAAACCTGCAAAGTGAATCGTCATTCCTAAGTTCATTTCCATTTTCCTCAAACCCAGGTTGTGGTTACACGTGAGTGTTAGAGCAGGGAGTTGAGATTCAGGCACTCTTGTTATTTTGAATCTTAAGGGACTAGGGGTAACACAGCAAAAGAGAATGGGGAGGGGAGAGAGGTGTGAGGAGGGGAGAAAACGGGAATTCATGGTGGTGGTACCCAGCAGAGTGGCCAAATGTTAGAGATATACTGTTTCCCTCCGTATCTCTGCACCCCCTGCCCCATCTCTCTCTTTCTTGGGCGGGGAGTGAGGTCTCCATACAAAAACTGACCACCACCCCTACCTCCCCCACACCCTCAGCCTAAACTCTTTGCTTCCGGAATCCGGGATTGTTGCTGACATCGAATTAGAAAACGTCCTTGATCCTGACAGCTTCTACGAGCTCAAAAGCCAGCCCTTATCACTACGCTCAAGGTATGTCTGCTCTATCTGACTCCTTTCTCAATTTTTCAGGCCCTTCTATCCATTCTTAGTGGGCAGAGGCCCTCAATGCTAGCCCAGCCTATTCTCTCCAGCAGCCTGTATTATCCAGATAGTAAAATGAGGGGCCAGAAAAAGGAAAAGCAGGAAAAGGTGTCCAGGTAAAGCAGGTAGCAGGCCAAGCAAGGATGCTGGTATCTTGGACTAGACCTCCCCTGCCTAACCCACCTGCATACCCATTCATTCACAAATATGGCATACTGACTGCCTAGAGTGCCCAGGGATCCGGCTTGGCCAGCTCAAGTTTAGCTACTGGGAGGAGTCATACCCACAGCCTCTGCTCACCCCCTCCCCCATGCAACAAACTCTCCCCACCCCCACCCCCCAGTCCTTGAGGAACCCCTGCTGATCTCTCTTTTTCCCCAAGCTGGGAAGTCTAAATGTGCTGAGTCATGGGCCTGGGCTCTAAGAGAGGGGAGGGGACCTGGAAGAGGGGCAGGAAGAGAGGATTGTGAAATTTCTGAGATTTTCAAGACTGACTAGCTCTTGGAACTAGAGGCCCAGGCAGGGGAGGAAGAAGGGCCTGCGATTGCCCCTGTAGCCTGATGCCCACCCCCAGGAGCTCAGGGAGCATCTGCAGCTCCAATTGAGCTTATGAGCCCTCTGTATTCACATCTACTGCCACAGCCTCAATTCTATCTTCTGCTCTCCTTTAAATGGGATAAAGCCCCTCTCCCAGAGCCAAGAGGTAGCATCTGCTCAATATATGAACAAGCCTAAATCCATGCTTCACCATAAGGACTGAGGGGCTAAAATTCCCCCACCAGACTGACCCCTAAGGGCTGCTACCAGGCTTGGTTCCTGTGATTACTCTATCACACTTTGACTCCTTAGATTTGGATTGAGACTTTTAGCTTACCTGTGGCCCCGTATTTCCCATTCCACAGCCTCCCAATATCACTGCAGGCCACACCAGCCACCCCAGCTACCCTGTCTGCATCATCTTCTGCAGGGGGCTCCCGGACCCCTGCCATGTCATCATCATCTTCATCACGGGTCTTGCTGCGGCAGCAGCTAATGCGGGCCCAGGCCCAGGAGCAGGAGAGGCGTGAGCGTCGGGAACAGGCTGCAGCCTCTCCCTTCCCCAGTCCTGCACCTGCCTCTCCTGCCATCTCTGTGGTTGGTGTCTCTGCTGGGGGCCACACATTGGGCCGTCCTCCCCCTGCTCAGGTGCCCAGGGAGGTGCTCAAGGTAAGGTCCAAAAGTCCTAGGAGAGGGGTCCTGGTGACTGGGAATTGGTTCAGGTGGCTTTTAGGTGAGGTCCTGGGGCTCTAAGAAAGGTCACAGTACTGTTAAAGTAGGTTGTGCTAGTGTCCCGTTGTGTTTATAGTTTCTGAGGTGTTCCCATGGAGTTGTAAGGGGTTCTTGGGGGATCATAGGATGTCTTGGTGGACCATGGAGGGTAAGGAGTGCCCCGAGTGGACCCTGGGGTCTGGAGTAGCTTTAGAAAAGCCTATGTATGTGTGATGTATTAGGAATTCTTTGGCCGTTGGAGTGTGTAGTTCCTAGGTCTGTTAGGTGATGTCAGAGATGAGGGGGAAGTCTTGAGGACTGTGACAGAGGGCTCTAGAAACAGGTATTCTCTCAGCCGTAGGTGGGTCCTGGGGGATACTTAACCAGTATTTGCCAGGGCGGGGTGGGGGAGAAGGTTTCTCAGATTCTGGGCCCAGTTTGCTGGCCTGAGCCTAGGAATAGATAAATTCTGAAGGTGGGGCTGAGACTCAGAATCACCTCTCTGAGCCCTCTTCTTCCCGTCTTTCCTCCCTCTTACCCCACAGGTGCAGACACATCTGGAGAACCCAACACGCTACCACCTGCAGCAGGCGCGCCGGCAGCAGGTGAAACAGTACCTGTCCACCACACTTGGACCCAAGCTGGCTTCCCAGGCCCTCAATCCACCACCAGGGGCTGCTAGTGCTCAGCCGCTCCCTGCCCCCGAGGCCGCCCATGCTACTGGCCCCACAGGCAGTGCCCCCAACAGCCCCATGGCACTACTCACCATTGGATCCAGCTCAGAGAAGGAGGTACGTGGCTGCAGACAACCCTCCTCTTCCTGTTCCCTCCAGCTTCTTCTAACCCTCTTCCATACTTGTTCCCCCAGATTGATGATGTGATTGATGAGATCATCAGCCTGGAGTCCAGTTACAATGATGAGATGCTCAGCTATCTGCCTGGAGGCACTGCGGGGCTACAGCTCCCCAGCACGGTGAGGCTCTGAGACAATTAGCACATCCCTCTATCATTGAGACTACACTTGGGCTGGCTGTGTGTATAAGGGACCCTCGCCTTGGATTATATTAAGATAGAGAGGGAGGCCGTATGATGAGAATGGGGCATAGCAGTGCCCTAGGTCCTTGTGTTGGATTGCATGGAGGTGTGGACCTTGTAGTTTTTGATACATACAGGGTGGGGACTTCATGGAGATATTAGGGCATACCAAGGCACTTAAGCTTCACTGTGGAAGGGACCAAGAGGTGGGACTCTTGTAGCATTTCTAATTTACCAAGAGATTGGAACACACCAAAAGTCTTAAAACTTAGTATGGTTGAACCTTGAAATGATTACAGAGTACCATGTCTCTTACAGTGAACTGTGCCAAGAGGCTGGGGTCTTGTGGAGAGTGGATGAAACTTTCTAGAGCAAGGGATGTACCAATAAATTGTAACATTCTGCTTCTGGAATATTCCAATAGTCCCATAACTTGCTTTAGGATGCACCAAGTGGCTGTAGCTTTGCTTCTTTCCAGTTTATCAAGAGGATAGAAGCATACATAAAAATGGTACTGGTTTATTAGAACTTTTTCTTGATTTGGACACAGCTAGAGATTGGGACCTTATAATAAATGTATCCAGCAGATTGGTGGGGGTTTTAAGAGATGAAATCATATCAAGGAATTGGGACTAATTACTTATGGATTAGTATGTTGCCCTGGAGTATATCCAGGAGAGTGTAAAGGAGAGAAAACAGTCTAGGCAGACATAAAAGCAGTGCTAGTTGTGTAGTTGGACAAGAAATTCTGGGAGATCAGAAGGTGCAAGAAGATACTAGAGTCAGGAACCTGGTATGTGGCAGCTGGAGACCATGTAAGTAAGGTGTTGCGATGCAGTCACCGCAAAAGACTAGAGATCCAGCTGGAACTCTCCAGAGGTCAGATTTGGGAAGGAACGTTGCCATGACAATTTCCCAAGGTCTGAGAAGATTTGGTTGGAGTGTTCCAAGAATGCTGAATTGGAATGTCATGCTGAGGGTAAGAGGAACACAATAGACTGAAATGTTGCATAGGAACTGACGAAGACCCGAGAAGGGTAGTTTTGCAGCATTTTTTAGCCAGCCCCAGGCTTCAGAGGTCACTGAGGGATTTTAGAGGTTATGGGGGCAATGAATAGGCCAGGAAGGCTCCAGTCCCATGGCAAAGCAAGGTAGATCCCCTTGATCCTGTCCTCCTTTATTGGGTTACCATGTGAAATTCCCTCGAAGGAGAAGGAAGGGTGCCTGTACTGAGGCAATCCTTGCATTAGGGGGCCTGTCTTTGGAGTTGTGTGGAGGGGTCAAGAGCCTTGTTCCAAGATGGGACCAAGCCGGGGGTCTGCACCCAACCATCATTCCTCTTCCCTGTCTGCCCCCAGCTGCCCGTGTCAGGGAATCTGCTTGATGTGTACAATAGTCAGGGCGTGGCCACGCCTGCCATCACTGTCAGCAACTCTTGCCCAGCTGAGCTGCCCAACATCAAACGGGAGATCTCTGGTAAGGGCCAGGGTTAGTCTCATGTCTACCAGGTCTGGGGGTGGGCCTGGTTCTGGGGTGAGAGGTTCGCGCAGACAGAAATGGGAACTCTTTGCCCTCTTTTTCCACATGACCCATTGGTCCCGCTTTCACCGCACTGTCTCTCATCTTGGTTTTAGCAAATGGCCTGTCACCATGGCTTCTTGAAAAATAGTAAAAAGAGTGGCATTTTTGAAAAAGTCACTTTCCCAGCCTGTGCCCGCCAAAGCCTGCCCTAGCAGCAATTCTGCCCTCCAGTTTCCCAGAGGCCCTGACCACTCCCACTCTCTTCCAGAGACAGAGGCCAAGGCCCTTTTGAAGGAACGGCAGAAGAAAGACAATCACAACCTAAGTGAGTAAGAGTGTGTGCCTTTGCCAGCATGTTGTTCAGTCCTGCCTTGCTCTATACCCTAACCTGCCTTGGAGGGGCCCCTCCCTGCAACAGCTGCCCAACACCCCAGTTTCTCTTCCCTCCTTGGCCTATTGACAACTCTTGCCCGCTCTTTCTCTCCCCTGCCTCCAAAGTTGAACGTCGCAGGCGATTCAACATTAATGACAGGATCAAGGAGCTGGGCACTCTCATCCCCAAGTCCAGTGACCCGTGAGTGTGGGCCGGGAAGCCCCAGGCTGGCAGAAGGTGGAGCAGGGTCCCCACTCCCCTAAAGTCATTCCTGGGGGAGGGGACAACCTGGGTAGGAACCACCCAGCAGTTCTGCTCTTCTGGCCCCTTTCCACTCAGCTTTCCTCACCCTAAGCAAGGTCACAGCCCCTTGCTGTGTCCCCACCTAAAATTTTAGATTGGTGACATTATGGTCCATGTGCCTCATCTAGTCCATGCAGGACTTAGGTACTTAGTTTTCTGTCTATTTCATGCTTGCATTATTTATTCAAGAAACATATTGAGCTTCTGCTTTGTGCCAGGTATCGTGCTTAGGCCCTGAGGTGACCAGAGGGAACAAAACAGACAAAAACCCCTGACCTTATGGAACTTATTTTAGTGGGGGCAGACGGACAGCCCCCATGTGATTATGATGAGTGTTGTGGAGAAGAATAAAGAATGGGAAGAAGATGAGGAAATGCTGGGGTGGGTTACAATTTGGGGTGAGGAGGGTAGAGATAGAACAGGTCCCAACAGACAAAAACATTTGAATAAACAGCCTAAGGAGGGGAGGCAGGAGCTGTATGGGTATCTGGGGGAAGAGTGTTCATGGTGGAGGGCATAGCTGGTCTTGGAGGCCCTGAGGTAGGAATGGTTTTTCATGTCCTGGGAGCATTGGGAAGCCAATGTGGATGTAGTGAGACGAATCAGGATCAGAGGTGAAAGGAGCACTAAGGGGTCAGGTCATAGTGGGCTTCCTGGCTTCAGGGATAGGAGTTGGGACACTGGTGGAAGGTTCCAGGCAGGGTGTGAGCATTTCATACCCTTGATTACCCCCACACTCAAGTTCTACGCATGGGGTAAGGTACTCCATCGACTTGGTGCTCACACACACACACACCCTGCCCTGGCTCCCAAGAGACTCCATATGCAGAACTCCCTTCTTTCCTTCCCCTTGGGCCCCACAGGGAGATGCGCTGGAACAAGGGCACTATCCTGAAAGCCTCTGTAGATTACATCCGCAAGTTGCAGAAGGAGCAGCAACGCTCCAAGGACCTGGAGAGCCGGCAGCGGTCCCTGGAGCAAGCCAACCGCAGCCTGCAGCTCCGAATACAGGTCTGGCAGGGGTAAGGGTGGGGGGCTTCCTGCAGACAGAGGCAAGGGAAGAATAGGCCAGGATTTCCCTTCCTGGCATACTTGGGGGATCCTGGGGCTTCTCGACTCCCATGATGATGACGATGGCAATAAGTAGTAATCATAACATTAACAAGAATAATAAATATTGGCTAGTGTGCATTGCATTTATCTTGTGCCATGCACTGTGACAAGAGCCTTATTTCCATTTACTAAGTTAATCGTCACAATCCTATGAGACAGGGACCATTATTACACCTATTTTGCCGATTGGGACTTAGGCTCAGAAACATTAAGTAACTTGCCTAAAGTTATGCAACTGGTGAGTGGCAGAGGCTAAATTCAAACCCAGACCACTTGTCCTTTTAACTGTTACACTCTTCTGCCTCTGAGGGGCTCTGAACTCCATCTTACCCCATACCTATCCCCTACTTTTTGCAGGAGCTTGAACTGCAGGCCCAGATCCATGGTCTGCCTGTCCCTCCCACCCCAGGGCTGCTTTCCCTGGCCACAACTTCGGCCTCTGACAGCCTCAAGCCAGAGCAGCTGGACGTTGAGGAGGAGGGCAGGCCAGGCACAGCAACATTTCATGCAGGAGAGGGACCTGCTCAGGGCGCTCCCCATCAGCAGCCCCCAGTGCCACCCTCGGATGCCCTTCTGGACCTGCACTTTCCCAGCGACCACCTGGGGGATCTGGGGGACCCCTTCCACCTGGGGCTAACGGACATTCTGATGGAGGAGGAGGAGGGAGTGGTGGGAGGACTGTCAGGGGGCACCCTGTCCCCACTGCGGGCTGCCTCTGACCCCCTGCTCTCTTCTGTGTCCCCCGCTGTCTCTAAGGCCAGCAGCCGCCGCAGCAGCTTCAGCATGGAGGAAGAGTCCTGATCAGGCCTCACCCCTCCCCTGGGATTTCCCCACTCAGGAAAGGAGGATAAGTCAGGATGAGGCCCTGCCTTTTCCCTCACTCTCCCATGAGGTTGTCCTGCCTAGGTCTTCTGGGGAAAGAGATGAGATGAGGCCCCAACCCTACCAGTCAAGGAGAAGGAGTCAGGTGACACCCCACCCTTCCCTACAGGCCCAGCCAGCTGCAAGAAGATCAGGGTCTTGTCTCCAGGAGATCACAGCCTCACCCTTGCCCCATGGTACCTGCCCTTGCCCAGGTGAGGGAAGGAAACAGGATGAGATCCATCCCTGTCCCCTGATGACTATCGTTGCCATGTCTCCTGGGATAAGGAGGTGTCAGGATACTTCTCCATCCCCTATCTTAGAATGGTCAGTCTAGTCCATCCTGGCAAGGAAGAGGAATCGGAATTATGGGATTCCCACCTTGGGGTTTGAAGCCCTGCCCCTTCCCCATGACCCATTCCCTGGCCTGCCCAGGCCAGGAACGTAAGTGAGGATGAGAGCCAGACCCTTCACCTGGAAATTCAGTCTTCCAGCAATAAAAGGAGCCAGGCCCCGCCCCTCCCTTCTAGGAATAGCCCAGTAGGGGTATTTCAGGCATGAAGGAGTCTGTAAGATCAGGCCACCATGTGGCGATCACAGCCCTTATTCCTTAGCAACATCCCATCCAAGCATTCCACTACAGGGAGGAGTGTTACTTAAGCTCCCTGCCTTAACCTGAGACCAAGGTGACAACCTAGGAGGGCTCTGAGCTGACCTTGCCCTTAGAGGTGGGGGCAGATCTTGAAATATTGTGGATTGACATTACAGACCTAGATCAGGAGTGAGAGACCCCTACCTTTGGGGAGAGTCCTGACTCCTTCCTTGAAGGGCAGTTTGGGGAGGCGATGGGGAGTAGGGGTTACTGAGTCCAGGTACCGGCACCCCATTCCTTTTTTTTTTAACATGTAGAAGAACACGATGAAGGAAGGGACCCTTCTGGGGATTTCCCCAGCCCAGGAAAAAGTGGAAACTTTTCCCACCAAGGCAGAGGCTTGGAGGAAGGATTACAAAAGCATGTATCCTTCTTTTGTTTATCCGATTTTTTACTGACCCCTTACTCAGAAGCTAGGTCACCCACAGCCACTGACTTCTACCCAGCTCTCCATTTGGAGGAATCTTCCTCATTTCAGAGTTATCAACAGACGCTCCTCACCCATCCCCACCCCTCTTACCACATACATACACCCAAGGCTGTCAACTCGATTGTTGGGCCCAAGTCCCAAGGAGAGTGTACTGAGGGGTCTGTAGGTTTGTGATTAAAATAATAAATGCTAGGCGTGTTTGATGCGCTTTTAACTTTGGCAAAGAGTCTCCTGTCCTTTTGACTATGCAATGAGCATGGCTCATGCAGGCCAAGAGGAAGGAAGGTTCTTGGAAGAAACAGATGTAAGAGATGGATAAAAGAATTTAGCTAGAAATAGGGGCTGGAGGAAAACAACCAAAAGCAACCGGTCCTTAACTACCTGCCAGGCACTCTCCTAATAATTGCAAGTATTTTACCTAATTTATCATTCTAAGGAATATTCATCAAGAATATGCTGATTTTTATTCCCAGTTTATGTTTGAAGAAACCCAGGAATAGAATTTAACTATATGAAGATAAACAACTGGTAAATGGATGAAGAGCTAAATGGTAAAGTTAGGTGAGTGAGGGCTCTGGTTTGAAAAGTCACTGAGGGCAAAGGGGTCAAAGATTTTCTTGCAAGTTCTCTTTTGAAACTGATAAGAAAGTGTGTGAATGTATCTGCTGGCAGACATTAGAGGCATTCCAGAAGAAAGGGCAAAGACAGAAACCATAAAGATCAGGAACAGGTAAGCAACTTCCTTTCAGAACAGATATTGACATTTTGGAGGAATTTTATAGAGGTGAACAGACACAGGTATCTTGAAAGCTGGGGAAAAAATATTCCTAGAATTCCTCAACCAGATTCTTGACTCCCAGGACAGGCATCAGGCCCGGTCCTGTGTCTGCCCCAGCAGAGTGAGCACCACACTTGCTACTTCTTTCTAGCCTATCATCACACTGTGACACCCCCTAAGGCCTGGTTGTTGAATCTACCCCCAGACTTGTGGCTCCCTGATACCTTTATTTTTTCTCCTCAAATTTGCTATATCCTCTTTATAAAGATAACATGTAATACCCAGAAGTGTTTTTCAAGTTTGTATTTTGAAATAATATTAGATTTACAGAAGAATTGCAAAGACATTAGGAGTTTCCATCCCCTCACCTAGTTCCCCCTAATATTACCATGCTATAACCATGGCACATTTATCAATGCAAAGGAAATAATATTGGCACAGTAGTAGGAACTCAACTTAAGACTTATCTTGGATTTCACTGGTTTTTCCGTGAATATCTTTTCTGTTCTAGGATCCAAATAAGGATACCATATTTGTGATCTCTTTCTGTATAACAAATTACCACAATCTTAGTGACTAAAAAAAAAAAAAATGCATTCATTATCTCCCAGTTTTTGTGGGTCAGGAACCCAAGCTGGCTTAGCTGGGTCCTCTGCTCTAGTGGCTCTCACCAGGGTGCAATCGAAGATGTTTTGTGGGATTGAAGACCCATCTGAAAGGAATCAGCTCTGAACTCCCACTTTGGGGGGGACAAGATTCAGTTCTCTGCAGTCTGTTGAACTGTGGGCCTCAGTTCCTTGTTGGCTGTCAGCCTGAGGTACCCTCAGTCATTGACACATATGCCTTTCCTTCTATGAGGCAGCTCATGGTAGTTTGCTTCATCAAAGCCAGCGAGTGAGAGCTAGCAAAATGGAAATGAGAATCTCTTGTAATCTACTCATGAAAGTGGCATCCTTTCAATGTCTAGGCATTCTGTTGGTTGGAATCAAGGAGAAGGGATTACAGAAGATCATGAATATTAGTAGGCAGGGACCACCGAGAGGCCATCTTAGAACCTTCCTACCACAGATACCACATTACATTTAGCTGTCATATCTTGGTCTGTGACAATTTCTCAGTCTGTCCACTGAGAAGGCCTAGACATCGTGCTATTCCAGAAGCAACAAACATATCTAGTATTCAGATCTTGATTTCTAAATGCTATTCTTAAGTAAAAGGAACCAGGGCTCCTTGTAGAAATGGCTGGCTTTAAGACCAGGGTACGGAAATGCAAGATGAGCCTTGAAGTGTTGTGTAGCGCCAAAAAGGAAGAACCAAGTGTGTGTGTGTAGGAATGTCATAAGGATATAGGAGCCATCTTGAAAGAGCTCCCAATGGCCAAAGCTGGAACATTTTGAGCAACAACAAAATGATAGTATTGGGTTATAGTCCAAAAGAAATCCCTGATTCCATGATAAATAAGTGATATAATTGAATGAATAAATGCTGGAGATGGGACGACTTCCAAATAATAGAATTCCAAATAATAAATATAGAAGGAATGAGGGAAATAGAAAATTACCATTAGAATACCACAGTGACAGTTGCTGTAGACCTGACCTACTAAATGCTAAAATTAATGGGCAAAACTTTAAGGTGAACATGGTAGTTACACAGCCTTAACGTATTGCCTCCAAAATATTAACTACAGGCATACCTTAGAAATATTAGAGGGTTGGTTCCAGACCACTGCAATAAACTGAGTCATAATCTTTTTGCTGGTGGAGGGTCTTGCTTTCAATTTCTAAAGCAAAAACACAAAAATGCATAATGTAATAAAACAAGGTATGGCTTGACATAGCACTAGACCCAACTATATGCTGTCTACAGGAGAAACACATTAGGTAAAAAGACAGATAGTTTGAAAGTTAAAGTAGAAAAATTTATACTGTGTAAACATTAAACTTAAGAAAGCTGAAATGGCTATATTAACAAAAACTAAATACACTTTAAGACAGTATTACCAGAGATAGAGACATTCCACAATGACATAAGGGTGAATTTATCAGGAAGACATACCATCAAAAATGTATAAGATACTTAACAGAATTTCAAAATACATGACACAAATCCAACAGAAATAAAAGGGAAAATATGCAAATTCAGAATCATCAGAGATTTTAACAGCCCTGGGTTAGTTGTGGATAGAATTACAAGATTAGCAAGAGAATAAGATTTCCACTTCCAACCCAGATATATTCTATGGGGACCAAACTTAGCTTCTTGCCTGAAACATAAAAATCTAGACAAAATATAGGAAACAACAAATATCAAGATACTGGACATCAAGCAATGAAGGAAAGTGGTCCCTGAGAGATGGGAAATAAACAAGGTTAGCTCACTGCCTGGAGACAGGGCCAACTCAGGAAAAACCTAGAAGTCTGCCTTTGTTGAGACAGAGCTAAGAGTCTGATGAAAGCCAAGGCAATTAGAGTTAGCAGGGCAGAGAGAGTATCAGAATGTAGAGGGATCCACAGAGAGATAACTCCAGAGATCTTCAGAGAGTTTCCATTGGTATTCAGTTGAGTGCTAATCAGCACAGGCTTGTGAGAAAGCTACCCAAGACCAGAGGAAAATACACAAAATGATTAAAGGGAACAATACCTGGAATTCACATAGGGCAGGAAATAATGCCTTTTTCAAAAACTGGAGAGGAAAACCTCATAATTCACGGATCATTGGGTACAGTACTAAGAAGGGTCTTGCCTTAATAGTGGGGAAAATTAACCCTAGATTCAACAATGCTCTGGTCTTATCTAGCAAAGCTTAATAGTAGTCCTTGAAAGTAACAGTGTTTCCAAGTACTTAATTGCATCCCAATACAAAGTTCAAGAATAGTTAGAGGAATATAGAAATATCCAGTACCCAATAAAGTAATAGTCATAATGTCTGGCATTCAATAAAAAATTAGTGGGTGTGCAAAGAATCAGGAAAATGCAACCCACAATGAAGAGGAAACTCAATTAATAGAAATAGACCCAGAAATGACACTGATGAGACAATTCATAGACAAGGACGTTAAAACGTTATTGTGACAGAATTCCATGCATTCAAGAAGTTAGAGGAAAGACGGGACATGTTAAGGAGAAATAGGGAACATATATAAAAGACCTGAATTGAACTTCTAGAAGTGAAAACAACAATGTTTGATTTTAAAAGTACACTGGATCATATTAATGGCAGATTAGACATTCCAAAGAAGAGATTAATAAATTTGAAGATATGATAGAAAATACCCAAAATGAAACATATAGAGGAAAAAGACTTTAAAAGTGATTATTTATAATAGCCAAAAAGTAGAAACAATCTAAATGTCCATCAACTGATGAGTGAATAAATGAAATGTGGTATATCTATACAAAGGAATATTATTCAGCAATAAAAAAGAATGAAGTACTGATACATGCTATGACATAGAGGAACCTTGAAAACATTATGCCAAATGAATAAAGTTAATCACAAAAGACCACATGTTGTGTGATTCCATTTATATGATATGTCCAGAATAGGCAAATCTAAAAAAATAGAAAGTAGATTAGTGGTTACCAGGAATTGGAGGGGAGTAGAGAGTGACTGCTAATGGGTACAAAGTTTCTTTTGGGGGTGATAAAAGTGTCCTAAAATTGTGGTGATAGTTGCATAACTGAGTGAATATACTTTAAAAAATTGAATCATATACTTTAGGTGAATTGAATGGGGAGTGACTTACATCTCGATAAAGATGTTAAAAAAAGAAAAAATAAAACTTAGAACAAAAATTTAAGATTTTATCATATAATTCTACTGATAAAGAGTTAGAAATAAAGCTACCTAAATATGGAAGAAAAAAGAAAAATTTGAAAGAATTCATTACCAGCAGACCCACAGTACAAGAAATGTTAAAGGAAGTCTTCAGGCAGAAGTCAAATGATACCAGATGGAAACCTAGATCTACACAAAGGAATGATGAGCACAAGAATTAGTAACTACATGGGTCAACATAAAGAGTTTTTTGTTATTATTTAAATATCTTTAAAGGGCAACATACTGTCCAGAGAGAGAACGAGAACACCATATTGTGAAGTTCATGACACATATAGAAATAAAATATATGGCCACCAATAACACAAATGTTGGGAAAGGAGAAATGGAAATATATTTAGTTTCCTATACTATATATGAAATAGTGAACTATCATTGGATGGTAGACTATAATAAGTTAAAAATTAATAATAAGTTGAAAATAAGTTGAACCCTGAAACAACTACTAAAGTAAGACAACAAAGAATTACGAATAATAAATCAACAAAGGAGATAAAATAATATCATTAAAAAATACTTAATAAATCCAAAAGAAGGGGAAAAAAGGGGAGAGAAAGGGGAAACAAAGAACAGATAGCACGATAGAAAACAAAGATTTAAATTCAACTATATTAATAATCTAATAATAGAGTTTCAAAATAAATGAAGCAAAAACTGATATAATTCTAAGAAACAATAGACAAATTCATGAATAAAGTCAGAAATTTCAGCACTCTTTTCTCAATAATTGATACATTGGACAGAAAATAAAGTAAACAGAAAATTAGTAAGGATGTAGGAGACTTGACCACAACTATCAATGAGTTGGATTTGATTGACATTTTAATAAGACTCCACCCAGAAAATGCAGAATACACATTTTTTTCAGATGTATCTAGAATATTTATTAAGATAGATTATTTTCTGGATCATAAAACAAGTCTCAAGAAGTTTAAAAGGATTCAAGTCATACTATGTTCTCCAACCAAAATGGATTTAAATCAGAAATCAGTAATAGAAGTAGATCTGAAAAGTCCCCAAATATTAGGAAACTAAATAATACATTTGTCAATAACCAATGGGTCAAAGAGAAAATCAAAAGGGAAATTATAAAATGAACTGAATAAATGAAAACATAATATATCAGAATTTGTGGGATGTAGTTAAAGCAATCCTTAGAGGGAAATTTACAGTATAAAAATGCCTATATTAAAGAGGAAGGGTCTAAAATCAATTACCTCAGCTTCCACCCTAGGGAACTAGAAAAATAAGAAAAAAATCAGCAAAAGAAACAAAATAATAAAAATCAGAGTAGAAATCAATTGCATGGAAGACAGAAAAACAAAGAAAATCAATGAAACCAATATTACTGAGAAGACCAATAAAATTGATAAAGTTCTAGCTGGACTGACCAGGAAAAAAGAGAGAAGACACAGATGACCAATATCAGGGCTGTGAGAGGTGC